AGTTTCTTTCCCCAAGTTTCTTCTTCAGCATCAAATATTCCAAATCTGACTTCCTCATGAAGTATTTCTGCTGGTTTAAATATCTTGTAGCCCATCTCTTCAGTAGTGTAGAGGTCTGGTCTTCTCACCCAACATCATCTCTCCCACAAGACACCCACTTCGATAAATGAACTTCAGCTGACACACCCAACCTCCATTAAGAGACTACTTTCAGAAGAACCAGGAGATGTTGTTATTTCTTATCCCCTTGTGTAAAGATTACACAAATTCCATGAGTTCATGCCCCTCGAGCTGTTTTATGATAAGCAGTAGCCTCTCCTAAAGGTCCTGTTTAGTGCATCTAATGAAAGGCTAAATGTGTTCTGGAGCTGCAGGTGCCAAGGAGTATCTATGGGAGGATGAAACATGGGAACTTATCAAATAAAGACGGCACTAACTTAGCGGACCCCGATTCCTGCTGATTTGGCTAACCTAGGTTTGACTTAATTCTATTCTTAATTGATCGACAATGTTTTTTTTTTTTTTTGTAACCATCATTGCCGATACTATGCCCACATACAGTAAAACCCCGCTAATACGAACCCTGGATATAACGAACCTTCCCTTATAACGAACCCACGCCGATTCCCAATTCCATTCCATTGAAAATACCATCGTTATAACAAACTTTGCGATTTTTAGAATAACAAACTACCCCTATAACAAACCTATTTTCGGTCCCAAAATGATAAAATCTATTTAAAATACTATGCTTATAACGAACTTAGAATTGTAATTAAAAAAAAATTAAAACAACCAAATTTTGAGCATGTTTCAGCTCGCGGATCGCGATTTCAAAAAAATAAATTTAGCTGCATTGTTTGTTTTGAATTTTGCACTTTATTTTTGCTGTATGTTGTATAAATTTTAACAAAAGCGTTATTTCTTAAAAAAAAAAAGGCCATTTTCAGAACTTTTCAAAGTGAAACAACACAGGCAAAATGTAAAGAACATATTAAAATAAGAGAATATAAATTTTCTATTATAAAATATAAAGCTATTAAAAATTGTTACAAAGAGGAATCAACCTCAACTTTTGCCGCGATCGCTATCGTACGTTTTAGGGCTAAAAAAAATCCAAATAAATGGTCCCGTGATGAAACAAAAACTATTTTTATACCATTAACTATGGTGATTTTAAAGTCAGCAATGTTTTGCATGACAGGTTAAAAAAAAAACGAAATCTAGACCTAGAAGAATATGTGGGAAAATGAAATGGAAGAAAAACACTAACTTTATTTGAATGGTGCAATGCTTGAAGAATGCTTTGAAGCAACAAGGTGTTAGAGCCATTTTTCCAAGTAAACAATGTATTATATAATGTGATAATGATGTTTTAAAATCATTTTATATCTTTGAATATATATTTAATAAAACTTTGCCTAGGATTTGTCTTGATTTTTAAATTAGACATTGAGGTACATGTATGTTAATGATAAGAAGAACCTATCATCTAATGATTTCTATTATTATTCAGTATTAATGTAAGGAAATTGGTCAATTAAGGGAATTAAAACAAAGTGACCACTATTAAGAGGAAGCCTCTTCTTGTGTGTATGGCTGTCCTTTAATTATACGGTCTAAAAATTTTGAAAAGTAAAAAAAAAAAGCCAAACCGTGGCTATAGTGAACCAAAAGCTCTGTCCCATTGGGGTTCACTATAGAGGGGTTTTACTGTATATAGTAATACAAGGTGTTCCAAAATGACAGAGTTGAACATTATTTTAGTCATAATTTTATTAAACAAAAAAAAAATTTGAACAAAGTAACAATTATTAACAATAATATGGATACTAACTATTTATTCTGTTGGTTTTCAAAGAGGCATTCCATGGCGGTGATTCACAGGTCCAAACGTGACTTGAAATATTCGGCTATGGGCCACAGGTCCTCCGGCAACAATCGGTCCCATTCTCAGCTCAGCCACTTCAAACTATTGTGGAGTGTGGTCCTGGTCTGTAAGATGGACCACACGCTGAGGTTGGGTGAGTAGGGCGGCCATTCCCATGATGTGTTGAAGTCCATGAGCCAGCACAGAGTCCTGCTGGAACATCCAATCTACATCGCCGAAAGGCTGTTGAGCCCAGGGGAGTACAACAGCCTTGAGAATGTTGCGGTGATACACTTCCTGGACAATTGAGATCTGGTTATAAGGGGGTCGGTGGAAGGGTGGTTTAAACCGTTGGTTTTCAACCGTTAGGACTTGGGATCAAATCCCGGAATGGACACTTTTTTTCTGATTGAAAAAAAAAATGCTCAAATGGCCCCGATTCTTGCAAAAGTCCAACCCCTCCAGCGAGTGCAAAGTAACCAAAACGGGGCTCTAGCACATTTGTAAGTGCAAAAGTCAAACTGCTTTTCACATGTGTAGACATGTAGTGCACTTACAGTAAAAGCAGTCGCTAGCTGCCCACCATGATTATCATGGCCTGTACCATGTGTACTAGGAATGATAATAAAAAAAGGTGGAGTGTGTACTCAGTGTTTTATCTAGTATCCTGGTCAAATATTTTTGCTTTACTTAGCAGCAACACAACATCTGATTCAAATGATGCTACCTCGTTCACATTTAACTTAGATTTAGTGTTATTTCTTCTCAATTAGAATCAGAAGTACTGATAGGAAGGAATGCCAAACCCTGTTGAAGAAAGAGAAATACTTCAGCGATGGGAAGCCAGAATGGTTGATGAATGTTAACTGAGTGGATTTGAGTTATTTCTATATTTGAGTTTAGAGAGAGAGAGAGTGTTAAGTTCTGAGTCTGACATTGTTGTGTCTGTGCAGAAGTCCTCTACACTATCGCCGCCCATGGCCAACTATCCCGATCCCACTCTCTGATCCGGTGCACGTCCCTCTCACCAGCGCCCTGATTCTCCAGCCACTGCTGACCTTCCATCAGTGGTTCCTACATTCCCCTGGTTCGTCTGTCCACTCGCTACAACCTCCACTGGACCTTGCCTTTGGAGGTTGTCCCGGTCTCTTCCATGGAGACCTTCATACCTGTCAGGCCAGCTGTCACAACTTCCCGCTGTGTGCTCGCCAGGATCAAATAAACATATTTTTATATAAAGAATCTAAACAAAATTGGAAGATATGTCCTTTCACAAGAAGTTGTATGTTCATTAGTAAGTGATGAGGATTCATTCATCTGAACAAATGGAAGCAAGCTTTGTTTAAGGCTAGCATCAAACTAGGACATCCACTCTAGAAGCTTAAACATATTCTATAAATTTAGTAAAATTATTAGAACTAGAAAAATCATATATTATACCCAGTTTTCAGTTTATATATGATCCTCAATGGTTCATCAGGTGTTTGATAAATATATTATATTTTCTTCAATTATAATTAAATATTCTAAGAGGGGGTCGGTGGAAGGATGGTCTAAACTGTTGGTTTTCAACCGCTACGACCCGGGTTCGATTCCGGCATTGGGCACTTTTTTTCTGATTTAAAAAAATGCTCCAATGGCCCCCGTTTCTTGCAAAAGTCCAACCCCACCAGCAAGTGCAAGTAACCAAATGGGGCTCTGGCACATTTGTAATTGCAAAGTCGAACTGCTTTTCACACGTGTAGACATGTGGGGCACTTACAGTAAAAGCAGTTGCCTATTTGCCCACCATCATGGCCTGTATCACGTGTACTAGGGATAAGCAAAAAAAAATTTTAAGAATTGTTAATATTATAATCCCTTCCGTAAAATTATAAATTAAAGACAATTCCTTGAGGGAAAAGTTTTTTTTTGTATCTCGACAAGTTTTCATGTGTAGAAGCCCAGGTGTAACTAAGGACCTTAGTAGAGTAGTAATACATGTTGAAGGGCTGTTGAGCCCTTGTATTGCCGTCATATATAAACTCTTCCCTCAGCGAATTGTCTTTATTTATCTTCTTATTTCTTATCTCCACTCAATCAATCAGGGTGTCAAGCTTTTGTAAAACTTGAGACTTTTGATGGTGTCTGCCGGGGAAGAATAGAGCTCATCAATGGATGAGTCAATACAGTCAATAATGTGTTTTGGGGTTGCAGGTTGACACTTAGTGCATAGTGGGAAAACCTTGACACCATTCTGGAAAATCTTTTATTTATAAATATTCTAAGTACACGTATTTAATATCCAAATAGAAAATTCCATTTTTCAGGTTGGCTCTATAATTGGGTAAAAATTATTTATATCTAATGTGGTCTAAGAGAGAAAGACTTAACAAAACCTTAGCTAACATGCTGGCAATGTATGTGAACATTGAACAAAGGATGTTCCCTATGTCACTTTTGTCTACAACACGGCCAAACAGTACAGGACAGGCATTACCTGTTTAAACTGGTCCATGGATGGAAAGCTGAAACGACTGTAGACACTTTTCCCAGGACTCAACTGATGAGGAATGCAATAGATAACTGTGACAAAATTTTAAGAAGCTAGACAGCTGCCGTGATCGGAAACTTTTAAAGCCCAAGAAATACACAAATTCAGATATGATTCTAAACACGAAGCAGCTGATTACAGTGTCATTGATCTCGTATGGATCTCAACACCAGTATGATAAGTTGGACTCTCAGAAAAACCCATGGAAAGGTACTTCGAACCGAACCATAAAAGGTGACATGGGATCTATCCAATGTCATCTAGGACATCGAATCTACTGAGCCATCAGGCCGGACATGCCAGAAAAGAGACCTAGTCCACATGCTCAGGATGAAACCGTACCATGATCCTGCGGATAGGAAACAATCTTCTTGGTATCTGCTATCTTGTTCACACACTTGATAACAGTAACTATTTTTGGCCGAACGGCATCAACAAACTATTCGAACATTGGGAGGAGGTCAGATATAATAACGGAGAATACATAATTGATTAATTAATGTTTTTTTGTCTAAATAAAATTGTCGAATAAAACCGAAGGAACTTTCTTTACAACCCAATATATAAAACATGCTGTGATATATTTTCTCATTTCAAGCATCGGTGGTTCAGTGGTAGAATGCTCTCACCTGCCACGTGGGTAGCCCAGGTTCGATTCCCAGTTGATGCCATTTTTTTGCCGATTGGGAAATCGACTTATGCAGCGACCCATTTGAACGCTCTATGCAATCTCTGGTTTGTGGTTGGTTGTCTTAGTACTGGTACCCTCACTACTAATCCTTGATAAAAGACCTCAGTTTTGAAATTCTTTATATATATATAGCCAAATTAAAAAGAAAAAAAAATATATTTTACCTAAAAGTTTTTTACTGTTACTTTTACAAAAATAAAATTTATCTTTTCCCAGCACCTGTTGAATTATTCGGGGTTTTATTCAATCTTCTTATCTAATCAACACCTGTCTCACCTTATCTTCCCTGGCCTGGAGAATCTAACCTTTTTTGAACAACCTTGGTGGCGTGCAGTACCTTGGTACTTTGATATAGTTCATGCCGGCTTGTCTACTTGCTACATTCATTTTTGGGCTCAAAAATCATACACTTTGGTTAATAGACCGTAAAACCATATTGTCTCTCTATTTTCTCATTTCCAAGAGTACAACAGCAACAGCCAAGATACCCTGGTCGGTATAAATCTAACAACCTAATTCAGATTTCAAAGATAAATAAAACACTGCCCAAAATTGTAGAAAACCAGAACCAAAGCAATGCTAAGGTTACAACAAGAAAAACTCCATATTCTGATACCAAGGCCCTGTGTGAAAAATTGATGTAGGTAATCAAAGCATACCTACAATGAAAAAAAAATCGCAAACTACCTTTTAAAATATTACTTGGAATTGTAACGGAATCAGATCAAAGAAAGAAGAATTATTGGACTTTTTAGAAGATAACTCAATAGACATTGCCCTAATGAGTGAAACTCACCTTAAACCCTCAATTGATCTGAAGTTCAGGAACTATCAAACCATTAGAACTGACCGAATTACAGGAAAAGGTGGAGGAACAGCCATCGTTATAAAATCCCTTTTTAAATATAAAAAATTATATCATGGAAAATACTTCGATTTTGATCAAACAGATGGAAAAACCCTCTTACAAATATCTGCAATTTATAAGAAGCCTAACGCCCCATTATTGGAGGAAGATTTGAACTTACTGACAAAACACAACCATGCAACAATCATTGCAGAAGACTGGAACTCCAAGCACCTGGGGATCAAGGACTTCTAACAACAGTGGAATCACACTGTACAACTTCTATGAAAGAGAAAACCTCGACATTGTCGCATCTTCTTCGCCCACGCATTACAGTCCACTCGGCAATCCCGATTTCCTAGACTTCGCTGTTTTTAAAAACATTCCCTGAACCCCAAAGGCCAGAACCACCGACGATTTATCATCTGACCATCTCCCCAAAGGATGAATTCACAACCCAGCTCAGCCAAGTAACTAATTGGATTCATTTTCACCAAGATCTAATTTCCACCACGCCCCCCAGACTTCCCTTGAAAACAGAAGTAGACATTGATTCCGAAATTGAAATTTCAAATGGGAAAATCAATAATAGTTACTCGAAAAACACCATAGTCTCATCCTCCCAATTAATAATTTAAAAAATGCTGCGTGCATCGCCGTCCGCGTTGGTCCTACTTGCTACTGAGCCTACATCGTTCTCGCTCTGTATTATGACTATCATTTTGAAATAAAGATGACTTATTGTTCGTTCCTGCCTCTCTCTGTCTGCCAAGTTTCATCACTTTCTGGCCCCTCTTTCTTGGTATTTCATTTTCAATGTCACTCAGTTATAAGCATCTAATATTTCGATGAGGCATTTCGCCCATCTTCTTCTAGCATTCAAACCTTGTGAACAAATTCTCCACGTGATAGTAAGTAACGAGGTTTTGAATACAAAAGGTTGATGTGCTCAAGCCATTCAATGGGAATTATTGTTTCTACAGATATTACATACTAAAATACTATAGTATGTATTCAATTATTATATATATAACTATATTTTATAGCTACAGTTCGAACTACTTTTTACATGTGTAGACATGTAGTGCACTTACAGTAAAAGCAGTCACCAAATTTTGCACATCATGATTATCATGGCCTGTATCACGTTTTCTAGAGATAATAATTTTTAAAAAGCTACAGTTGGATTCAGGGTGGTGTGAGCCAATTGTTTTTGTATTAACGAGCTTATATATATACAGTTAAACCTGTCTATAGCGCCCCCTCTTGGGACTTCCCAAAATAGGGTGCTATAGACAGGTCACTTTTAATGTAAATCGCATCTAATACGTATTTAAAATCGGGCGCTATAGAGAGGGAGGCGCTATTTAGAGGGAGCGCTATAAACATGTTTAACTGTATATATATATATATATTGTTAACGGATAGAGAAGAGAGCCGGCACATGAAACTATGGAAAGAAAAGGTTGTTGGTTTAATGTATTTTTGGTAATCCGCAAAAATGGTAATTCACGCGCGCTGTTCCTTTTAATTTCTTCTCTAAACGTTCAAACTGGCCAAAGAAACATCTATCCTTTCCCGTTTTGGATCTAAATTGAACAAACAAGGCGTAAACAAAGCATGTTTATTCCCAATAATCCATAAATGATATGGTACACATGTTCTTTTGAGATGTTAATATTCTGTACTATCTGTAATATATAATAAGTATATTTGGTTTTGACCAAGGACTTGGTTGTTGTTGTATGAGGTAATCAATATATGGCGTGTGATATTCATGTTTTTAGTTCTTATATTCTTTAATAATAAACTATTATGCAAATATATAACTTTTCAGTAGCATACAATCTCTTTTAATGAAAAGCTACACTTTTAATCTTCATACCGCTGTCAAATTGTATTGACAAATATTTGCATTTTTTTATCTTATCTCAGGTTTTAATGGGAAGGATTTTGTTTTCGTTTGATATAGTGAATCAATCTCTCCCGCCTTCTCATTGGACGAATGTGGCCATGTCTGTATATATATAAAGGGTAGCTATGGTATTGCGAGAGAGAGTGTGGTGGATTATCGTGTGGAGACGCTTAAAGTGTTCTCTGCGTGCTTTATCCGTGTCTGGCTATCTCCTCGCATACCTGTGTAACCCCGGTCCGCTCCCTACCAACGCAACAATAAAGATAAGTACTGTGTGTTTTTTTTAAATTTTATTTAACAAATTGTGAGTTATTATTTACCCTTTTTGTGTGTTGTACTCTTGAGTGTATGATTTTTGTGTGTTTAGTTACTATTACTCTAGGCCCTAGTAATTTACTACTTTGTATGTTAACCCGTAAATAGTAACTTTTGTCATCGCGATCATTAATAATCATTTGATGGATTCTGGTAACGCCTTCTTCATAGGTCAATTCTCTCGTCCTTTTCCTCTGCGATTTTAGTCTTCGCAGCTTGATCGTCCCCGTTTACCATGTTGTGAACTGTTTTAAAGAATGATAGAACTCTCCTCAGATTACCGCTCGAAGATCTTTTTTATATTCATGAAGGGAGGATAGATCATGTTTACTTATCGTAAATATCAAAAAACCACCCTGGTTGGTAAAGACCCGCCCATATGATAGACCTAACAATCCTATCTAATCATTCCCACACAGATTATAAATCACACAGCGCACAATTCTATCTTCGTAGAACGACACTTGAAAATATTCCGCATTTGTTTCTTTTGAACGAAAAATCGAGAATTATTTTAAGGAGAAATAGCGAGTATTTTTAACCTTAGGGATGAAGTATGATAGGATGAATTGTGAAGAGTAATGATAAACGGAAAAATAAAGTGTCCAGGGATGGGATTCTATCTTCAACCAGCCCTAAGACACACAAAAAAAATGATTTTATTTTTATAAAACATGTTCTATAAATTGAATAAAGGTAATAATTACAATAAAGCATTTCAATGAATAGGCTAATCTTGGATGAAAATAATTCAATAAACAATATTTCGATTAGGCCACATATTACCGGGAACAGCATTAAATCAAAGTTCCATTCAGCCATTAGATAAACTAATATATTGCCACGTGGAAAATTAGGGAAGACCAACTTCGGGATGAGACAACAATTTTTTTCAGGCAAGAACAAACTATGAATGGTAAACAAAAGATAAGCAATGAGGGAATTTACAGAGTAGCAAAATATAAACATTAAAAATTATACTATGTTGATATAATAAAACTTTGCTACATAGCTCCTTCCCTATGGGAGCTGTGACCCACAGCTAGCAATTATAGTAGTTACTGACATGAATCTGACGTGCTTCTGCCAAGGATTCCTTTGAAGTCTTGGAACTTTGTCCCTAGTACCTTTGCGCCATTTTTCTTGCGGCTTGAAGAGCGGCTTTGTCGTCGTATCGTCTATAGGGACATCGTCATCTTGGAGGGGAGTCTTGGCTTTGATACGGCGGTGGAATCCTGGAGTCAGACTCCGAAAATGTAGATCACAGCACCCATAGCCTCTAGGTCTTTTCGGCGATCTTCAGTTTGTCTTCCCTAATTTACCCAGCATCTCCACCAAAATGTCACGTGGAAAATTAGGAAATACAAACTTCGGGATGACACAACAATTTATTTAAGGCAAGAACAAACTATGAATGATAAACAAAAGATAAGCAACGAGGGAAGTTTATTTATTATTCTGTACATAACCCGGACTCCTGGAGCGTACGAAAGTCGCCAACTGTCCGGGTTTGTCTTCTGACTTATTGTCCATTTGTTGCAGTTGACATCCAACTGATTAGATGTTGCCAGGCTGTTTTATTTTTGGGGAGGTTCTTCAATGCTTCTTGGTTGAATGTGCTGGTGTTAAGTAGAGTTGCAGTCTGGAATCTCTGAAGATGGTAGGATGGGCAACTGAATAGGAGGTGGTCGACTTTTTGATTTTCTTGGTGACAGTGTTGGCATACGGGGTCGTTGTTTTTGGAGGTTCTGGCGATGTCGGCTTGATCGAAACCATGTCCTGTCAGAATTTTAGAGGTGATGTCGCTATATTTTAGTTTTGGGAGAATTGAGATTAGAAGACTAGGGGATGCAGCTACTCTTCTGAGGTTTCTTGTAGCGTGGTCTGTGGTGTAGAGGTCGG